AAGCAATACTCTAAATCACTATTGATTAGAGAAATGTAAATTAAAACAACTCTGGTGTACCACCTCACACCTATCAGATTGGCTAATATGACAAAAAGGAAAATGATAAATGATGGAGAAGGTGTGGGAAAGTTGTAACACCAATGCATTGTTGGTGGAGTTGTGAACTGATCCAACCATTCTGGAGGACAATTTGGAACTATGCCCAAAGGGCTATAAAACTGTGCATACCCTTTAATCCAGCAATGTTACTTCTAGGGCTGTATCCCAAAGAGATCATAAAAAATGGAAAAGGACCCACATGTACAAAAAATTTACAGTGCTTTCCCTCTTGATTATTTCCTGTATATGGTTTGTTTTACATATTTGTTTGCTTATGATCTTCTCCATTAGATTGTGTGTTCTTCAAGGGCAGAGATTGTCCTTTGCTTTTCTTTGTATCCTCATAGCTTAGCACAGTGCCTCATATATAGCAGGCATAATAAATGCTTATTGACTGACCTGCTGCATAGTGGAGTATTTACTATGCTATTAATTGCCCTTGGAATATCTCCTCCATCTGATTCTATACAAACAATCAGAATTTAATAGAGTTCATAGTACAGACTGGCCAAAGTCTACCACAATACTTTTCCTGCTCTCAAATTCCCTCCAAACTGGAAGCAAAGCCTGTTTTGCTAATTGATGTGGATAAAGGTATGCCATGGTGTAGAGAGGCAATGTGACAATTATCATGGGAAAAGCACTGAATTTTAAATCTTAAGTTTTAGCCTTGATTCCTCTCTCTGCCACTTACTACCAGTTTGACTCAAGGGAGGTCACTTCCCCTCTGTTGGCTTCAGTTTCTTAAATCAGACCCTTCCAAATTTCTTAATAATAGTAATTGACATTTACAAAAGTCCTTTGTACCCATAGTTTCAAGTGAACCTTGCAATAACCCTGTAAAACAAATTGTCCAAAAATATTATTTTTCCTCATCTTTAAAGATGAGGAAATTGAGCTTCTGAGACATTTTGATAATTTGCTTATTGTCATACAGCCAGTAATCAAGAGGCAGAGCTTGGATCCAAGTTTTCTGATTCCAGAGCCAGGATCTTTTGTTTACTGTTCAGTTGATTCAGTTATGTCTGACTCTTTGTGACACCATTTGGGGTTTTCTTGGCAAAGATACTGGAGTGGTTTGCCATATTATAGGTCTATTATACTACCAGATCTACTTATATTCCAAGTCTATTATACTACCCATTTATTTTCCTTGTATCTCAGAAATGCTTTCTGTTTAAGGAAACTGAACAAAGCCTGCTTGAACCCAAGGCAAGAGGGATCTATAGCTAAGTCCTCATTCAGTATTTAGATGCATGGGCCAAAGAAAACAAACCATTACAAAGATTGTTTTTCCTAATCTGGGAAAGGGTGTATTTGGGGAGGTTGGGTTTGGGGGGTGGGAAGTTGTTGGAGTTTGTGTGTTGGAGAGATTTCTTTAATGAATAAGACTTGTATATGTACGTTTCTTTCTTTTTAGATGCCAGGAATTTCCCAACTATCCTTTTAATGATGAATACTAATGAAGTTTTGACTCAGAAGATTTGTGGCCTGAGATGCTGCAGTGCTCTCAAAGGAGTAGCTTACATTCTGTTGGTTTTTATGGAAATTAAATCCAGTATTATGGTTAAGCCATGCACCATGGCTAAGCCTACACCAAGGCACAGGTTAAAGGCAATTGTTATATTCTAAGCTCTGCTTTTCCTGCCCTCAATAAGACAGACATAATGGTACCCATTTACGTAACATTTCAAAGTATGCCATATAGTAGTGCAAGTATTATCCACTTTTTTCCAAGAGAGGTAACCTTTTCTCAGAGAGGTTGTATCAGAGTTAGTATCTCGCTCACAGCCCTCCTCTTTCCTCAGATCTTACCATTATTTGTGGTACTTCAACATATATATTGATATCCCCTTCAGCATCCTAACTACTCAATTCCTTAGTCTCCTCAACTCTCATGGACAACTTCTTCACTTCACCATCTATATAGTAGTGTAGATGTGCTGTCCTAGGTATGGCAGTCCCCTTCAGTTCTCTACAATTTCATCCCAGCTACTTTCATATCCAGCATGAATGCAGTAATTTCTGTAACTCTTCTGAAATGAGATTTGTCACTACCAAGGGGTACAGAGAAAGCCAATCATAATCGTACATACATACATATACATATTAAGAAAACAATCACATGCTGTGATTACACACATATAATGAATAGATGATAGTTCACTCAAAACCCAAAAGAACACTAGCCCCTATAAGCCTTGAGGATGACAAATATTCATATCTGAGGTAACTCCCAAGGCAAAAATAAATCTTTGAATCTGGGATTTGTCTGTAGTAAAGAAGATGTAACTTCAATACATATTATTCTAGGCACACTCTAATGATTTTAATAATTAATGGTCAAACAATCTATCAAATAAAAATCTATCATATTAAATCTATCAAATAAAAAGTGTTCTTTATAAAGTAAACTTGTAAGCCTAACAATAACAAGCCTAACCTGTATTATGGATTTTTAAACCTATTGCCAGTCAAATATCAATTTGGTCTAATGCATTTATGAATCATTTTACATAAAATATCACTTCATCCCCTATCAGTTTGGTATTTTATATGAAATAGTAGTATAGAGTAATTACACTTTTAATTCTTATTCATGCAGTTTCTAAGTATATCACCTTAATGACAAATATCAAATGGTCCTTTCATTAAAGTATGATCTACCTATAGAGGGTAAAATACTATGATTATCTCCCTTTATATAAATCACATTATAATTTAGTTTGGATTTACAATCACAAATGATCTCATTCAAAAATCTCAATTTCCCAAAGACCATTAGCTGCCAGCACCTCAAATTATAGAGGCCACTATTTTAAATTAGCTCCATTCTAAAGATTTATAATGGAAGTTGCACATTCTTATCTCCTTTTTAAAATATCTCAGCATTTGCAAGAATCTTTAAACTATAATTTGGAAATTTACAGTAAAAATGTTTTATTTCAGTTACACATTTGTTCTATAATTAGTTTATAATGCCATAAATTTTTACAAACCAAGAAAAAGATTTCCTTTCTTTACTTGTCTAACTTTATTTCTGTAACCCCAATCTGACTATTGAAATGACAGAGAGAAAGTATCTTGAAGTTTTTTTCTTTTTATTTTTAAATTCCTAAAACCTTATCTTGAGCTATAAGTCTGAAATGAGAGTAAATCTCTGGTTATTGAGAAGGAGAGTTTAGCATCAGATTATGGAAAGCTGGGAGAGCTGTTTCAAGTATGAAACTTCATTAATCTTCCCCACCAACCATTCTAAACTCCCTTTCTGCATTTTTTTTAGCAGACTATTGCTCAGCTGCGTTTTCCCCTAAAAAATCTTCCAACATAGCAGAATCTACAAATACACAACATATTTTCCTGAGAACCTCATAGGTGGGAGGAAAAAGAGGTTTTCTACTATAGGGGTACTGGTTTGGCCCATAAATGCTCAACCGTGGTCAGCAGTTTATCTGACTTATACACATTGGTGCTTCCATCATTAACCTGAGGTTATCCTAAGTGAATAGGTGTAGTACTGATATTAGGTGAGCTGTTTATCAAGGTCACTTAGTCAACTGAAAGGATATTAGGACATGGGAAGACACAACACAAATATCTGATAAAATATTGCCTCTGGGCAGGTCATGTGGTTCAACTGGTGGCCTTTGCATTTGAGTCCTGTATCACAGTGTCATACTCACCAGTATATCAGGGTGGCTGCCACCAGACACAGGTATCCAGTTTATTTCTAATGGCTACAGTAGGGTTGCAGGAAATACAGGGAGAGACAGATAAGTGAAGATTGAGACAGAATATTAATGGCCAAATTTAACAGATGGCAGGATTGCCTCAAGAGTCCTCAGGTAATCAATCTTAGAAGACTACTCATTTGCTGATAAAGGTAGCTAGACTTGTTCTAAACCTACTCAGAGCATTCTGAGTCAGGGTGTCCTAATGACTCCTAATGCCCTCTGAATTATATAGAGTTCAAACAAGGGAACAAATATTGCATTCCACTGGATTATTAAGGTTACCCACCTGGTTCTCACCATACAGATTGATCTCATCTAGGTCAGTACTGCCCTACTTTGGGCTTCTCAAATTGACCATCAGATATCTCACTTCTGACACCAAAACTTTTTGGCGGAAAGAAATCAAGAACTAAAAAAAATTTGAAGTTTATCAATTCATCTAGCACGGGAAAGAGTTGAAAAAAGGTGGTCTGCTTCCCAAAGTCTTTTGAGTATATGGGATTATATAAGATTCAAAAAAGGAACAAGGAAACAACAGTTGAGTGTTGAGCAGTTTCCAGATTAAGACACATCCTCACACAAATCTGTGGATCTACCTCCACTAGAAGATTTCTAGTCAGCATAACCTGCAGTCCTGAGTTAAGCATAATCTGTTCTATAAAAAACAGGTTTGATCTTTCAGCTCCACAGGGGCATCAAATAATGCAATAAAGATTTCCCACACCATCATGTTTCTTTCTTAGTGTGCCAATCTCATTTCTATTTAGTTTCATTACTCAGTTTGCCCTCTAATCCAAGGACATCCCGGTGGATGAAACACTCCCAGGAAAGCCAATATCCTCTTGATTGAGAAATTCCCCAACATATCCTATTTATAACACACATCTAAGTCCACTATCTCAGTTTATTCCTCTCAGACCTAGATAAATAAAAAAAAAAACTAAACAAATGAGAAGTTAAAGACTTGAATAGAATTTTATAAAAGTTAGATATCATGTACCTCTAGAGATTGCTGAATGGAAATAAATGGGAGTATAGATATATTTCCATTGTCTATAGTACCTTCACAAGTTGACCATGTACTAAGGCATTAAAACTTCACAAACAAATTCAGAAAAACAAACATATCTTTAATGGACTCTGATGAAATAAAAAATATTTAACAAGGGGCAATGAAAAAATTATTTAATTGTGGAATAAATACTTTGTCTTAAAGAATGGGTGGATCAAAGAACAAATTATAGAAAAAATCATTAATTTCATTGAGGCAGCAAGATGGCATAGTGGATAGAATACCAGCCTGAAGTCAGAAAGACCTGAGTTCCAATCTGGTCTCAGACACTTACTAACTGTGTAACCCAGGGTAAGTCACTTACTTACATGTGACTTAATTTCCTCATCCATAAAATGGAGATAACAGCACCTACTTTGCAGGGTTGTTGTGTGGATAAAGTGAGATATTTGTAAAGCACATAGCATAATGCCTGGTACATAGTAGGTACTATATAAATGCGTATTTATCCTTCCCTTCCCTTTATTAAAGATAATTACAATAAGACAATATACTAAAAATTTTGGGATGTAGCCAAAGCAGTCCTTATGGGAAAATGTCTCTATATACAATTTTATCAATGAAAGGGGGAAATAACAGATTAATGAATTCAGCATACAACTAAAAAAAAAACTTGGAAAACTGAATAAATTAAAAATCTCCAATTAGATACCAAAATAGAAATTCCAAAAATCAAAGAAGGGACTAACAAAATTGAAAGTAAAAAATAAAATGAAGATTAAGAGCCTTTTTTTCCTCCTCAAAAAACCAATAAAATAAATAAAATGCTAACTAACTCAATTTTTAAAAAGAAAATAAAATTACCCAATATCAAAAATTAAAAAGATGAATTTGCAATGAATGAATAAACAGTTAAGAAATATTTGCTGAGTTATATGCAAATTAAAATGACAATCTAAAAGAAATATGATTATTTACAAAAATATAAAATGTCTAGATTAACAGACCAAGAAATAGAGGACTTAAATAACCCAATCCTAAAATAACATAAATTGAATAAACCATAAATGAGCTCCCAAATAAAAAAAAAACCTTAGGACTTTTTGAATTTCTATGAGTTACATCAATTCATTCCAATATTACATTGTTTGGGGAAAAAACAGGAAAAGAAGGGGTCCTGCCAAATTCCTTCTATGAAAAATATGATCTTAATATCTAAACCAAGGATAGTCAAAACAGAGGGAGGAAACCTATAAAACAAATATTAGCAAGGCAGCTATAGCAACATGTCTCAAAGATTATACACTGTGACCAAGTGGGATTTATACCAGTTGTATTAGGCAAACCATAAGCATAATAGACCATATGATTGTTTCAGTAGATGCAGAAAAAGCTTTTTATAAGCTACAAAATCCATTCATGTTTTAAAAAACCCCACTAGAAAACAAGGTAATAAATGGATCTTTCCTTAAAATGATAAGTAATATCTACCTAAAACCAAGAGCCAACATTATCTGTAATGGGGTTTTTCCAATAAAGATCATGAAAGCAAGGAGGTTAAAGCAAGGATATCCATTACTATTCAGTGTAGTGCTAGAAATGCCATCTACAGCAATAATATAAAAAGAAATTGAGTAAATAAGCACAGACAAAGAAGAAAATAACCACTTTTTACAGCTGATATGTTGGTTTACTTAGAGAACACTAGGGAGTTTACTAAAAATTAATTGAATCAGTATCCTTGGAAAAGTTGCAGACTATAAAATGATCTCTATATAAATAACTAGCATTTCTATACTTTACAAAAAAAAAATCCAGCAAGAAGAGCTAGAAAGAGAAAAGCCATGTAAAGTAACTGCAGAGGGGTCACATGATCAAGATGGAGGATGATCAACCAATAAATAAAAATTTATTAAGTACCTACTATGTACCAAACATTGTGCTTAAATGCTGAGGATACAAAATGAGGCAGAAGATAGTCCCTGCCTTCAAGGAACTTACAATCTAATGGAGGAGACAATATGTAAACAAATATATTCAAAGCAAGCTATATGCAGGATAAATAGGAAATAATTAAAATTGAGAAGGCACTAGGGTTAGTGGGAGTGACATGGGTCATGATCCAGCAAAGGAGACTAAAAAGGATGCCAGATGGGTAAGAGAACCAAGAGAAATGTCAGAAAATCCCAGGGAGGGGAGAGTATCCAGGAGGTCATTAATACTGTCAAATGCTGCAGAGGGTTCAAGGAGAAAAGAATATATAATTTAATTCAAACCAACAAGCATGTATTAAGCACTCATTATGCACAGGGACTAGAAAGCCAAAAAAAGAAGAAAAAGAAAACAGTCTCTATCTTTGTCTCTGTCCTTCTGTTTGTGTCTCTGACTGATTGTCTGTCTGTCTCTTGGTCTTTCTCTCTCTCTCTCTACAGCCAGCAAAGTTATAAGAGATCAAGAAATAATAAAACAAAATGTAAAGAATGAAAAAGTAGAAGAGAGTGTGAAACATCCCATAAGAAAAACAACTGATCTCAAGAATAGCTCAATAAGAGAAAACATAAAAATAATTGGACTACCTGAAAGCTATGATCAGAGAAAGAATCTTGATACAATAATACAAGAAATAATTAAAGAAAAT